CCTATTTGGACTTTGTATTTCGAGATTTCCGTTCATAAGACACGGAGAAGAAAATTGAAAATACTTTTGTAATCTAATTTAATCTTCAGCTATCGATTGAGCCTAGTTAAAATTCAATCGATGCAATCATTGTTGATGAAAATGTGAACTTATCTATTTATCTGAGGAATTCATGTATATAATCACGGGCATCTTGCCGCCGTTCCGCAAATTTCACTATACATGTCCCTTGACAACATGTAAATAATTATACATGTTATATTATAATGCTTAATTATTAAAAAAAGAAAAAATGATTAAAGTAAGAGTAGAGAATATATAGTTCTTAAGAGTTCTTTTATAAGGTTACTTTATTACTTTGTACATTTTTTTTTGTACAATTATTTTATTTTAAAATTAGAATTACATATTATATACATACCCATAAAGAAATTACATATTGGCAATGTGTTATATGTATACCAATATGTAGCTCTTTTTTTCTTTTGTCAAATAATTTTGTTTACTCTTTATTAAATTAATCATAAAAATTTTTTAGAATCGAAATTATAAAATAACAAATGGAGAAAAATGAACTTTTCAGACACACTTCCAAGGACCCAATAATTACTTCAACGATGAAATAAATGATATTAAATTGCTTAATAACATTCAACTTTACTTTTCTCTTTACATTTCGTATCTGCATATTCTTGTTCGTCCATAAGAGAAGGTCGCTCGATGATCGTGGTCTCCCGTACAGTAACTCAGGTCGGTAGGCCTGCACGCGAAATACATCGTCGCTTCGGTATCGTCACTGAATAAACGACAATTTGTATAACAATTCCCCCATGGTTTGGTGCATTGTGCCGGCATGTGAAAGTATGGAGGTAGGCATGCTGCATCCCACTATGGCAGTTCCTATTCTCCATTGGTTCTTTCTCTCTTCATCATCGAAAATCATGAGTGGGTGACGAGGCTCTGTGAATAAAGTATCGGAGCAAGACAGAAAAAGAGAGCGAGATAGAGAGAGGGGGGGAGGCGAGAGAGAGCAATGACGAGAGAGAAGGAGAGAAGGAGAAAAGGCTCTTGGAGAGATCACGATCTGTGAAGCAACGGCAAAGGTCGATCCGTGCTGCACAGTGCGGCACGACGACAACGACAACGACGACGACGACGACGACGACGACGACGAAGAGGACGGTAGGACGAACGTTTATTAGAAGCGGAGGAAGCGCCTCTGTGACAAATGGCATGGTTTCATTGTTGCACGCCGGGACCCCCGGGCCCGCACGGCAAACGGGGGCCCCTCGCGCGACGTCGTAAATCTGACCGACGCTGACGGACAGAAATCAGAACGGACGGCCGCACGCGGGTTTCACGGTTGGAACGCGGGCGAAAGGAGCAGCCGTCGCGGCGAGGAGGAGCGGAGTTACGCCGACACCGACCAAATATTTACGAGCTAGATGCAATTGGGTGAGAATCCGCGTGCCCGGCATCTGGGATCCGACGTCGGCGTATAGCCGTTGTAAAAATTTGACGGATCTCTCGCCGACGAGAGATCCGCCGCGCCGAGTGAAATATGTTTACGACATGTCATCGTTTTTTCAATCATCCGCGAGACACTTGTGGGTAAAATTATGCTGGCAGGGTGATTCGAACCATTTGAAAACTCGAGGAACGTCTCGTAAAAATCTGAAAAAATGCCTGTTGTAAAGTATTCTTTGAGGCACATTTAGTTTGTTGTTCCGAAAAATATTGTCCTAAGCAGGTATCGATAGCAATAAAATTTTCGTCAAGCTAAAATTTAACGTTGCAGACACAGAAAGATGATCTTCACGTTTACTCGTGAAAATGAAAACGAAGACAACTCTGACGCTCCTAGACAGCTCGTACGTAGGCATCGACACTTGATCTCTCCTTTATTGAAATTACACCGGTGTCAATTTCTGTTTTCGCAAATAGCTAAGACTACCCGAGACCGTTCGTAGCACGCGTGTTTAGTCCATCCATTTTTAAATCCGGAGTGTGTTCCAGTAACCTAGAAGGTAAAAAAGCACAGACGAGAAGTACGGCGATACTAAAAGCCGAGAGGAATTAACTTCTACAAATCATTCCTGATCCATGCTTTCGAGCCGAAAGGTTAACATCAATTGCCGGCGGCTTCAGTGAAAAAATCGAATATCAATTTCCTCCCGCTGCGAGAGGAGGACGATGACTAACAGAAACCCGGGAGTAATCGAGGAGATAGAGTAGGGACTATAGAAGCAAAAGACGAAGAGAATGGAAGGTGTCTTATTGTTGAGAGTAGAACGCACGGGGAAGAAGAGTACGGAATGAGGAGGAAGAGAGGAGAAGGAGAAGGAGGCGAAGGTGAAGAAGGAGGAGGAAGAGGAGAAGGAGAAGGAGGAGGAGGAGGAAAGGACACCGGTAGTGGCGAGTAGGAAAGCGTCAGGAGCGTGGCGGAAGGAAGGGGGAGTTCGTTAAGCGGCGATCGACCGCGGGTCTGTCAATCGGTTCGAAGGCCCGGAGAAACGAGGGGAGCCCAAGATGGCCGACCGGCAGCGTGTACACGGGGCCCCTGCTTCGCCAGCATCAGCGACTTAGCATAAATCACTCCCGCTCCGCTCTCCCGCTTGCTCGCGCGCGAGTCTGCCCGCTCGTTCTCTCGGCTAACAGCCTACAGAAATGCGACCGCGCCGCAAATGCGGGTCTGTCTTTGCGTCTACGTGGCTCGTTTCGCAGCTATGATCGCATTTTGCGGCTCGTTGCGGTCGCGGGGCGGCACGCGATACTGCATGCAGCCCGGTCCTTACGCTTCTTGCGCCGATACGACGCAGCCAACTCTGGATGACATTAATTAAATTTCGTCATTAAGTAATTGCTTTTGTAGGACGGATCGATCTAATTGAACAGTGGATACACAGTGATAGTCATCTTTACTAACGTAGGAAAATTATGATATATCATTCTCTCCGTTTTTTTTATATTACGATCGAGTTCTTTAATCATCGATCATTGTCGATCGTTGTCTTTGTCTGGAAAGAAATTAATGCAATACACTTAATGAATAAAATAAATCAACTTGAAATAATGATTAAGATATAAGACATATATAAAACCGGCGTATCTCGCTTTTGCGAAATTAATTACGTTCTTCCTGCAATCGGATCTGCATGTGCGTCACTCGTTGCAGTACTTTCGCAAAAAGTTCAACGGAGCATAATTTTTAATGTCGACTTCTCGGAGTTCGTATGAGCGATGTACGCACGTACCAATAACGCGACGCTATCCGCAAGTGATAGCAATATGCCCATATTATTCGCGCAATAGCCAGCGATCATAATTGCACAAGTATCGACGCCAGACTAAAAAGACAGAGAAGGAGGAAATAAACGCATCGAGAAAAGAGAGGCACAGAGAGAGAGAGAGAGAGAGAGAGAGAGAGAGAGAGAGAGAGAGAGAGAGAGAGAGAGAGAGAGAGAGAGAG